TTTTTTTTTTTTTTTTTTTTTTTTTTCTTTTTGTTTTTGTACATTTTTCAAAGAACTGACTGTGATTCAAGATGAAAGTCCGAGAGAAATCAGATTCTTAGAATAAATTAGTATTCTATATCGAAATTGATATGTTCAAGGACTTAAATATAAATAATAATTGATTAAAAAAAAGAATGATTTAAATGACCTTCCAAGTAAGATGATATAACTAACTAATTTAAATTTTTAGTAAAAACGAAAAAACAGCGACGAAACAAGATGTGATGAGAAAGAACAATCATCAATTAGTTTGGAACATGCATTTTGGTACTAGACCTAACGAGAAAATATCTTTTATCGTAAGTCCATATAAGGTGCCCGATATTCGCTTGGTACACGTTTTTTATGCAAATTTTTAAGAGAATAAGTGTGACCTACAAATGTTTATAATAATATACCCATTATGAGAAAAAAAAAAAGTGGGTGCTACAACCAAGATATGATAATATGTAGTGTACTATCTAATGATGCATGATTATTAATGTTGTATTGAGAAAAAATGCGGTTAAATTTTGCTCGAAGATAATTTAAATATTTTCTATATAAATATATATATTTATTTAAATATATATAAATATATATATATATGTATACATATTAAAATATATTTAATATATTTAAATAGGATATAATATATACAGATAGTTTGATTATGATACTTGTATATAGTCTACCTTTATGTACAGGCGCAAAATCTAACTGCTTGCAGAGCGTGTCCCTGAACCTTTTTCCTAAAAGCCCACCAATCAATTTCAATGTAGAATGCTAACTTTTGCAAACCATGTAAGTTAAAAATAAAAGAAATTTCAGCCCAAAATATGCACTGGAAAGAGTTCTGACTCCTAACATTTTAAGAGTATGTCTATCGAATACTCCCGAAAGGAGTAGTACTCGAACCGCAAATATAACAAAATCAGACAAGATAAATAGGGTAAGCATAGACGCTAACAAACGTTGTTGTATGTTGGATCTTACCACACATACAAACCTATCATATCAGGCAGGTTCAGGGATTTTGCATGGAATAGTGAACGGCACTAGTTGCCGGCAGCGGCCACCACGCTGTACCAAGAACAAGATAAAAACTGCATTAATCAAGACAGCCAATATTTCTTTTTTCAGTTGATCGTTTACCATATATGCATTTACAGAATGGTAATCCTGCATGGATGTATGGCGGGACCCCCCGTACCGTCTGGTTTAGTACCAATGAAAATGGGTAGCCTAACTAAAGCCCTGCCCCACTATAACTAGCTGGAAGTGACGCTAAGTAAGGATGAAATTCCAGACTATGGACTCACTGAGGTTCTCAAGAAGGGGTTCTCATTTCTTGGGCTTTACTTACAGTGCATATCTCTTTCGTGCTCATACTCAATGAAAGCATATCCCCTAGGTTTGCCATTTATTGTATTGTGAATTACCACTATCTAAAAAATAATGATTAATATTAACTAAATGTTTCTGTTCGTTAACACATTAATAAAATAATAATCCAAACAAAATCCAAAACAAAGCACGTTTTATTTATCTACCTTTTTTACTGGACCGTATACTTCAAATTCCCTTCTAAGTTTGGATTCAGATGTATCATAATTCTAAAGAAAATATTACATAAATATTGAAAAAAATTAAAATTTTTACTAAATATAGTTATATAAATATTATTAATATCTATTATTAATATCTTTATCAAAAAAACTTACTATTCGAGCTACAAAAAGAGTTTTAAAAGGATCTGCTGTTACATTTGGAATACCAGCAGGATCCCATACTGCAATTTCTTGTTCTAATTTATATGCCACTTGTTCTGCACGTTCTCTTCTTCTTCGTTCAAGACGTTCTTCTCTTGTTTCTACACGTACTGGTGGTGGTGTATCTTTGGGGTCCTATAAAAAAATATACATTACTTTTTCGTTCTCTTGTTGTTTAACAATAATATATAATTAAACAATTATCTTTAATATTCTAATAATAAAAATACTTGAAAAAATATTTCGATAATATATATACAATAAAACTTTATTTAAGTTCTGATTACCTCAAAATATTTAAGAAAACCTCCAACGCCGATATAGCCTCCATTTTTCTTCTCATGTGGAAGCTTGCTAACGGGTGGTAAATAAGGTATAGGATCCCGCGGAGCAAAAAGTGCTAACAGATTAGGTGGCAGAAACTGTGTCATTTTTCAGGTACAAAATAAAGGTGAAACTAATTCTCAGTTCTCACAAAATGTCGAAACAAACAGCATCTTCAATGTTCAAACACTATCACAAAATGGCGACGATGAGAAGCCTTTACCGAGTCGGTAAAATTTTACTGAACAGAAAGATGTCGCTCTTATAAATTCTTCTTATACGCATGCGCAAATTAACACCATCTAGGAAAACATGGAATTAATTTTCCACATCATTTTACGTATCATAATATATATGATAGAATTTATCGATAAAAAATTAATATTGTTAATTTTTATTAATTATAAATAATAATTACAGTAATTATTGTATTTATTTAGAGCTTTAGTTAATACTATAAGAAAAGAATTATTTATATTGTCTGCAACATCCTAAATTATAACCGAGTTATCATTCTTGGGTAATTACTATTTATCAAAAGAAAAAAAATAAACATATCTCATAAAATCATGTTCTGACATACCGACTTCAGAAAAGATCAGACTATTTCATACGTTTTTTAATTCATTAAAATTTAAATATTTACCACCAAATATAATTCAATAATTTCGATTAAAAATTAATATAATATAATAAAAATTGTATTATAATATATTATTAATAATATATTATTATTAATAAACATTGAAAAATGTTATTAACTAAATATTGAAATTGTAAAATGATTGAATATTTGAATTTTATTTAAATTTAATTCTATTATTAGAAGAATAATATGTAAGCATGCAAAATTATATTTCTACCATTACAATGCAAATTGCAAATCAAATAAATGATAGTAATTATGCGAAAATTATAAAATATTTATAAATTTTTATTATAAATATTAAATATTATATATATAAAATTATTTTTTTATTAATTTTTTATTAACTATAGAAAAATGATTATCTATTACCGAAAAGATATTTTTTTTTTATTTGCCAATTCAAAGATTTTAAATTATAATTCTTAAATTATTTAAAAATAAATAAAAACAAATATAATTAAAGTCTTCTTATATATATATTCATAATTTTAGAAACCAAAACAAAAAAGATTTTATCATCTTAATAATCTTCCTATATAAAAATATAATTACTACAACCAATTAGCTCGTAGTCACAATTAATTAACTTATACTATTTACCATTATAATTTATTTTTAATTGTATCAGCCATATAAATTATACATGATACAATTAAAAACAAAATAATAATCATTGCCCAGATTTTTAGGTTTCTATAAATTTAATTTAACTTGTCTATTAAAAATAAATAATGACTTATTTAATTTAAACTAGTTATCAAAATAATATAATTCTTATAATTTTTATTTATATGAATTTTTTAGATTTATTGTTAGATTATAAAAATATGAATGAAGATTTATAAATATTTAACGATAACTAGTTAATTAAAATTACATATTTTTTAAATATAATATTTGATTCGAGTTCAAATCGCAATACGTAAAATATGAAAAATCGATAGGAAAAGCATTCTTCATTCATTCCAATTTTATTGTCAACTTTTCAAATTATATTTTTAAAAATAGATTACTACACAAAAATTTTTATAAAATTATAACAATCTGTTCATTTCTATCTGCTTATGATTAATCAAATATATCAAATATGCTATATATTCTAGTTATATTTAAAAAAATGAAAAAATAAAAAGCATATTAATTTATATTAATGATTTTCATTTATAACGCTAAAAGAGAAAATATTCCGAATATAAAATGACATCTTTGACATCCGAGCTTGGCAAATTAATAAAAATTAAATTACACAATTCAAGAAAAAATAAGCATAATTATCGATAGTATACGCTCTATTCCATGATTTCGATTATTAAATTATTATAAATTACGAAGAAAGGAAGTTTAACAAATTATATTATATAATATGAACATAATATGAATGGAAACTCTCAATTTTTTTAAAAAATTTATATATAAAAAAATCTCATATAAAAAGTCTTAATATAACATAGATGAAAGAAAAAGATAAAAATATAAATATAAATAATAGATAAACGCATTTAGAAAAAACTATTATATTAATTACTTCATAAATTACTATATCAGGAAAATAATTTAATTTAATAAAATTATAATAAATTAATTATATTGTAAATTTTTTTTAATGTAAATAACAAGAAATTTATTCTAAAAAAGAATTATATGAAAAGAAATAAAATATTACCTGAAGTAAACGAAAGACATCAACTGTCCATCATATATGCCATTAATCATTATTCCTTCAAAATTATCTTGATTCTATCGAATCGAATGCACAATAATCTACATAAATAAAAGTCAAAAAATAAAATAAATAAATATAAATAAAATCACGTTGAAATAGAAAAAATAATTGAAAATTTTTATTGAAAAATTTATACTAATACAAGGTACCAATAACCTCAACAATCAAATAGATGTTTGAAAGAAAGAATATGAAGAAATATA